TCGGCTTTGTTTTGTTTAGTGGTCGTTTCCCCGTTTTTGACTTGAGGTCACACGAAATTGTGGGGGCCTCCTCGATTCGGAGGTTGAGGTCGCACAAATTTGTGCAGGAGTCGATCCTTGATTCAGTTTGAGGTCGCACAAAACTGTGTTTGGCTCGGTCCTTCTTTATCTTGTGGAAGTAGGCACCATACACACTCACACTCACTTGCGAGGCTGGTACAAATTCCCGAGTCGCGGCACCAAAATATTCTGGCCTTTTTTTATAACTTTTTTATAACTTATAAAAACAGGAAACAGAATCGGTTTAATTCAAGAGAATCAATAAACGGCGAATTTTAGTAATTTTTTATTGCACGGAATTAGCAACAACATTACACAATTTAATTAGGCCATGACAAACTTAGGCCATGACAAACCAGACTAAAAATTTGGTCTTCTTAATTAACCTTGTAATTCCACTCGTTACACCATAAAATTCATGTGTGTGTGAGGTGGGGGGTGGGGGGGGGGGGGGGAGAGGGGGAGGAAAAAGAGCCCAAGAGAAACCAAAATTGTAATTAAACTTGGACAAAATTAAACTCATTGCTGACTAAAAGTAATTAGAAAAAATCAGGATAGAGCATTAAGAAAACACATATCCAAACTGTAAAGTGTAAATACAAAAATAATGGAGAATTACCAAAAACACAAAAAAAAACTGGATTTCGAGAAAAAATGAACAAAAAAACAATTGAAGAAACAAGTTAATGCTCCACCCAGAACAAACCTAGCAGCTTGTCGAACAAAAACAAGATTAAAAGCATGAAAGCGGAATTTTCCTCGTTAAAGAAAAATCTTTAAAATTTGCAGTTTCGACAGAGCGGAAATTAAGCCGACAAAACAAAAATTTTGAACAAGGAAAAAACAAGCTTAAATTTTTAAGATCTCCAAGTTTTTATACTACATTTGAAACTTGAAGCATTGAAGTTTGCTTTGCTACTTAACCATTGCATCATAAGCGTGATAAACAAAATTTGAAATTATTGATTCAAGCTAGGAACAATTTTCAAAAAGAAACAAAGAAAAAATTTAAAAAACTTAAATTGCATATATATCACAAGATTCACTATGGCGGCATGGCAGCATAAACAAAAACTGGTGACCAGTTTTGATTTTTCATGAAAAGGAGCCGGTCCGGGCAACAAACATCTCACGTGCTGAAATCTAAGACAAAATATTTAACGTTGAAAAATCTTGTATCCGCTTGCAATACTCTTGCTTATTGAAACAATTGCGCAAGTTCATGAAAAAGCATAATTTTGCTTTAAGAAAATTTTATTCAAAATGTTTCTCAATTTTACAGGTTACTTGCCTACCCAGAAAACAGTCAGGTGTGTATAATTTATTCAAAACAACCTTGAACTTGCTTGTCGTCACTTATGATTCTGTTGAGCAAATCAAAGACATTCCTACAAAACTAATCAAAGCCATCAGACAGCTGGAAAATTAAGAATGAAAACTGATCGATGAATTTTTTTGTAAATTGTTTTGAAACAAAGAAGTACTTTGCAAACTTTTGAAATTCCAGATAAAATTTTGATTAATAAGTTTAAGTAAAATTTATCCAATATTTGATTGATAAATTTTGTCATCTGAGAAAGTAAGAAACAATTTCCACGTTCAAAAGTGAAAATAAATAATATTTTTTGCTCTAGTTGAACTTCCTAAAAATTAAATAAAAAATTGCGTTACTTCTAGTATATGCGTTTTACTGCAAATTGGGAAGCATAATTAAGCGTGAGGGAAAAAAAAGATCTTAATTTTGTTCTTAGACACTTTAACATAAACTATTTAACCAAAAGCGGCTATCTAACACCAATTTTGAAATAAGGGAGCATAATTTGAGTACTGTTCGAATTCAATTCAAAAACGCTTGAAAACACAAAAAAAAATTTCGAAACTTTTTTGCATTTTGTTGTCTTTTTAACAGTTGAAAGCAAAAACGAGCTTCATGACAGAGGCGAAGCGGAATCTCTCCTTACTTGAGATACAACACAAGTGCAGCATTGCAAGCTATTGAATAGCAAATTAGAAAATTATATTTGAAAAATGAAAAAATTAATTTCAGAAAAAGAGCAAAAATACACAAACGCCAGCATCAAATAAGCTTGAAGTATTAAACTACTGGCCACTAAACCTACAAAACATGAGTCAAAAAAAAATATTGCTTACCATTTTCATAAAATATTCTCAGATACGGCAAGCTACCTTTTAAGAAGCAACCGACCTGAATACTGGCCAACCAAAGGATAAAAGTTTGCTTTTTTAAGACTACTAATCATAAAACTCAATTATTTGAATCCAATGAAAAACAAAAGCAGAGTTGGTAAATTGAAAAACAACAGGAAGAGCGATGATTGTCAATTATAGAAAAAATAACACCTAGCTTCGAAAATAAGGCCAACAAAAATGAAAAATTTTATATTGACATTTTTTGGGAAAAGTTTCACACAAACTTAAGGAAAAAAAAGAAGAGAATCAATAGGTTAAAATTTAGTCTGCTGGGAATTTTAATGGTAAAATCCACTTTGTAAACTTAAAGACTTTAAGTCGTTTGGTGACTTTTACAATTTATGTTCGATAGTGCAGTTTTACTTCCTTTCAACAAAAGAAATGAATTAAACCTAAGAAGAAACAAAAAAAAATCAAAATGAAGCATGCCCAATTTTTAGACTTTCCTAAAAAAATGAGAGAAGCCTACATAAGAGTATTCAATTTGTTCATCTTTTTTTCAAACCGTATCATATAACAAATTTCAATTGCATTTGGAACAAAAACAAAAATTCAAATTAAAACAGATTCATTTACATTTAAAACAAAAACAGAAATTGAACCGACAAAAATAGGTAAAAAAACACGAAACCAAAAAACACAAGTCAATCAGCGTTAGCAAAAATTTGAAAATGGACAAACTTACAGACTTTTTCCTAAAAAAACAGACAACCTAATCAAATCTTTTCACCTCGATAACTTGTATTTAAAAAGAAATCATGCCATACCGCGAAAAAACACAACCAACAGCCAGTTGGAAAAAAGTCAACGAACTCAAGTAAACAGAAAAAAACTAACATATTTTTTTTTAAAAAAACGCAGTTTTTGATTTTCCAGAAACAAAAAGATAGCATCCAAGCTCTTTAATTTTCCAGAACAATTTTTGATTGACACTATTACTATTAAAAAGACAATTTGAGAAAACTCGACCAAAAGGTTAATTTGTATTTCGCTGGGCAATCGGACAATTAAATTCCGTTTTCGCAATTAGCAGTCGATTACGTTATTCGTGACCTTTATACGTTTGCTTTGCAATGGAGTTTGCTTTCCTTTCAACAAAGAATTGAATTGATCTTGAAAAAAGTTAAACCAAATCTTGAAAATTTTAAAAATTACAAAAATAGGTAAAAAAAACACGAATCCAAAAAACACAAGTCAATCAGCGTTAGCAAAAATTTGAGAATGGACAAACTTACAGACATTTTCCTAAAAAAACAGACAACCTACTCAAATCTTTTCACCTCGATAACTTGCATTTAAAAAGAAATCATGCCATACCACGAAAAAACACAACCAACAGACAGTTGGAAAAAAGTCAACGAACTCAAGTAAACAGAAAAAAACTAAAATATTTTTAAAAAAAAAAACAGTTTTTGATTTTCCAGGAAACAAAAAGATAGCATCCAAGCTCTTTGATTTTCCAGAACAATTTTTGATTGACACTTTTACTATTAAAAAGACAATTTGAGAAAACTCGACCAAAAGGTTAATTTTTATTTCGCTGGGAAATCGGATAATTAAATTCCGTTTTCGCAATTAGCAGTCGATTACGTTATTCGTGACCTTTATACGTTTGCTTTGCAATGGAGTTTGCTTTCCTTTCAACAAAGAATTGAATTGATCTTGAAAAAAGTTAAACCAAATCTTGAAAATTTTTATTTCTCGAAATTAAGGATAGCAGGTTGCTGTGAACTTAGCGCAGAATGTTCCGACCATATTGTTAATGCCAGTTTTAGTGGGTCGTGTGACTCGAGAACTGTAGGATCGCGTAGAAAATTAATGAATTAGTCATGATTGACACCAATTCCTTTCAAAAATTGAATGAAAACAAAAAAAAAATAAAATAAAAAAGCCCATTAAATACGCGCCTACAGGGTTGGGGTCCACTAAATTTCCTGTAAACTTGAATAAAGTGAGCCGTAAAAGCTTGCGGATTTATTTAATAGCGATAAAATTCCGTTTTGGTTGGCTTGATAGAAAAATATCCTGGATTTAATAGGGTTCTCTCAAGGCTTAAAAGAATAACTCAGCCTACAGTAAGTACAATTTGTTTGGCGAAGCTTTGAAATCGTTAATAAGTAATCACACTTGTCAATCTTCAACTTAAATAATTTGACGTGATTCTTTCGATGCACGATCATCTCTAAATAATAACGCAAAAGTTAATTTCTCATACAAATGAACCGAAAATGATTTAGTAAGGAAGAGAAAGTCTTGTCTGGAAAGATGTTTAGGAAGGATGGAGAGAGCTCTTGAGGATAGAACTGCAAACGTGTAACATGTACTTCTTAATTAAACAACCTGCACTCATGTCGTCAGTGGGGGAAAAAGAAGCAGTTTATTCGAAGGAAATAATGATTGAGATCATTTTGAGCCTAACTAGGCACAAATATGAACAAAGATCAGAATAGCATCGAAGCATATAATAGGTAGTCATCAGTTCATCATTCAACAACACACATACCAACACAGAGACTCAGACTCGATTGAAAGCATCACTTAAAGAGTAGTTTAGTGTAGCTAGGTGTCATTTTCCACCCGCTGCTAACTTTCACTTGCAAAACTTTTGTTGATGAAGTCCAATTGTTCTAAAAATTGGCATGTGGACGAACTAGGCTATTGCAAACATATTTGGTCAGCATATTCAACCGTATAGAACCACTTACTACACCATAAAAATGATTTTTATGCCCAGCGGGGGGGGGGATGAGTTCTAGCTAAACTAATATGTGCAGAGCAGGATGTGTTGAGCGAAAACTGAAATGAGATAGACATAAAAGACAGTAGAATTCTCCTCGACTACTGTTCAACTCCACATGATTGATTATTATATGAGCATCATACAAAAGGGTAAGAAGAGTATACAAAATAGGGATCCGGTATCAAAACTAAATGTCATCTTGTGTATTTCTTCCGTCTATACTACACAGACAGATCAGGGCTCCTGCTTTTCTTCCAACTCCACCTATTTTTTAAAATTGGTTTTTGACTACTATAATAACGTTGTTACAATGCAATGAAATTTAGCATGATGAACACATTGTTCTTCATACCTTACATTGTAAAATCACGCATTAAGCGATTATAGCACGCAAAACAACTATCAGAAATGTGGAGGAAAAGTGGAAAAAAGCCCAGATCAATTTATTCGTAGAGCTAACATAGAACAAAAGCTGATCATCGCAGCAGTTCTCTCGCACCAAACAATAGCGGAAAATAAGAATGATAAATATTGGATGACTAGAGCCAGTCAGCACCATCTGATCAGACAAGATGAAGGATAAATATGAGGATAGGCTACAAAGACACAGTAAAGCACAGTTCAATGGGGTTCATGTTATATTGAGAAGCACTTCCTTTCGAGGAGAACTGACAGACATCAATCAGTTCAAATAGATTTAATATCGTGTGATGTATATAGTTCTAGAGCTCCAGCCGTTCTACTTTTTCAGCAGTTTAATAAGCAGAGCAAAGCCAAATAAGCGAATAAGGTCACAGTTAACAAGCCAGAGCAGTTCCAATATTTCATAGTTTTTATGTTCAATTTTGAGCCCAGTTCTTTTATTTTCATTCTTCGTTATCTCTCAGTTTGCAGTTTTACATTGATGCGTGTTGTTGTGGTAGTGGTTGCCTACTGCTGCCCCACATCAGAATGGGCAGAAGAGTTAGAGTGAGGAGTGCAGGAGAAGGAGACAAGTTAGAAGGAGGGTGAAGTAGATTGGAGCGGGGGTTGTCAATGGGTGCAGTTGGGGGGCCCTGTTGGTAAGACAGTTCGCACATGGTTCATCGCCCAAACTCAATTCAGCCACTTGGTACATGATCCTACTCTGCACAGCTAAAACACACACGAACATACCACATACACAGTATAGATACAAAAAACTCAAATTGGCGGCTGTTGTCCAAAGGGCACATTAAGTTTCGGAATCTCAACTTCGGAATTTTGAAAAGAAAATAAATGGCCTTAAAGCTCTTGGAATTTCAATTTAAGCTCTTCGAAAACAATTTATGATTGGCACTTTTGTGATTTAAAAAACTCAATTTGAGACAGACGCGAAATTGCGCTTCGCAAACACTAGCGAGAACACGACAAAAAGCAGCTCTATAACGTTCAAAAAGAAAAAGTAGAAATAAGACTTGAATTGGTAAAAACTCTGCAACGTCTCAGATTCCAACCTACGACCTACTGCGACCTAGAGCTTATGTGTCTCACGCACTAACGACTCAGCCACGGACGTTTAATTAATGACAAACACTAGCCACAAATAAAGCAGAGAACAAACGCTATGCATTTTTCAATGCTACAGTGAAATTTCCATCAAGTGAACACTTTCAATGAACACTTATATTTGCGAGTTAGGTTAGAAAAAAGAAGGTTCGTGCTAATACACTTACGCTTGTATTTCATTCAGATTATATTTCAAAAAACAAGTTCCAACAAGGAAATTGAAAGATTTTGGAGGAAAATCGGTTTTTTAACAAGGTCAATTAAAATAATCCGGAAGTCCATTTTTCGAATGGAAACTTTTTAGCCTGCAAAAACTTAGCTCTTCGGTGCATTTGAAATCATGACCGTTGTCTTCCATAGCGTTTATAGAATCTGTAGCTTAATTGGTTGACAGAAAAAAAATTCAAGCGTACAAAGATTACAAGTTGCGCTTTTTTAATTCGCTATATTGCAGTTTTCAGTTAGGCATGCAATCCAGTCAAAAATTGAAAAATTTTCGCAATTTTCTAAATGCAGCTCTACATTATGGTAGATCACTCAGGCTAGCGCGACATTTTTTAGTGGTTCCGCATTCAGCGCAAAAAAAAACAAAGCTCCTTCCCCTTCCTTGATAAATTATTCTTTTAACAAGCAGTACAAAATCAATTATCCAGTACAAAATCAATACAATCAATTAAGCCATAAATTCACTGCTTGTTGGGACAACCCAGGAGTAGTTCAACTCATGGAGGGTGCCCCAGATAAGACAATATTTGAGGAGCATCAAATACATAATTATACAAGGTGACATTTTAGAAGAGAACAATATACAACACAATACTTCCTAATCAGAGTAACAACAAATTAACGCTTTCCTTTAGTTGTTCTATTAAGTACAAGGATGGTCTGTGATGTTGTACGTATTTTGATGCCTCACCTGTGTCGTAGTACAGCCCCACTCTGGCCTCACTGGCCTGTGGATTGAGGATCATCTCGCATTTGAAGAACACAACTTCCAGTTCAGTGTTGCCCGACAGCATCTGAAACACACACGCCATGCCCACAAATATAATCCCACAACAACACCACGTGTTGATACAGTACATCGCAATTCACAGTTCGAAACATAGCCAACATACGTTGGCAAAAGAGTCAATGAACGCAAAAAAAAAATCAATTTTCGAACTTCAAAGAAAAAAATGTGGCCTTAAATCTCTTTGAATTTCTAGAACAATTTATGATTGACTCATTTCTGCTTAAGTTAACTGGATCAATAGTTAAAGGTTTTATTTCGTTGGGAAATCTGATAATTAAATTCCACTTTCGAAACTAAAAAGTCGGCCACTTTTTTCGTGACCCTTACACTTTTTCTGTGCGATATTGGAGTTTGCCTTCGTTTTAACAAAGGAAATCAACAGAATCAAGTTGAGCGCGAACAAACTTTAAAGACTATCTGAAAAAACAAAAAAAATTCATCCTGGCCTATATAAGAGTCTTAACTACGCTCATTGAATCATTAAAACATCCTAATTCCAGAAACACGATAGTACCTAGAATTTTAGGCTACAATCTGATAAAACACCTTGCTAAAGATATTTTAAAATCAATACTGTTTTCGTAAAAAGTGCAAATGATTAGTTACGTTGTTGAAATAGACACTGAGGGTCTTTCCATCCGGGCCAGTTCCACACTCGTACATGTCGATCTTGGATCCAGGTCCATTCTGAGAGACAGACTCGCAGCAGAAGCCACTGGGCGACTGGATCTCAACCACCACCATCCCACTACCCCCTGCCTCCTCCTCTTCCTCCCCAGCGTAACTGGAAAGGACAATTAATCGGTTACTCAATCCGTCACGCACTATCGTCTCAGCACATCATATAGTGCATGCTTATCAGTTTCGATTTCAGTTCAACATAGATTGCACTTCACTAGTCCGGTGAAGTAAAATGGTGTTATGGAAGAAAGTAGTTGTGGGTGGGATGACTCACGTGATCACAAATACGACAGTTAGGATGCGGCCATCGTCCACGACAATCTCCTTAATTTTGCTGATCACAATCTGCATGTCATCTCCCCCACTCCCCTCCCCATCCTCACACTGTTCTGTGTTGTAGTAGATCTCGCCTGCCATGAAGGCCCTCCCAGTGCCCCCACTGCCAGTCTCAACACACACTCGCACACCACCATCGTCCGATTCCACTTCCTCTTTGGGAATGTCCAAGAACTACCAACAGAAAATCCAACAGTCGAGTACAAATAATTACCATGAGTATGCTTAAAGCATTCTTAGTCTCTTCAATTAGACGTTGAAGTGGTTTAAACTTACGGAACCAGCTAAAATACGCGAAAGGAACCGGTAAAGTAGCACATCATGTTTCAACCAAACTCAGTTTAAGCAAAAAATTCAAAAATGAGGATTTTTTAAAAAAAATCTTCAAAACAGTAGTAAAAACTTTTTTCTGCAATTTATCTTGTTCCTATATTTTATTTTTTTTTGTCAAGAAAGGGCGATTGAATTAGCTGATAAGATGAAAAATGCAAAAAAGCGATACATAAAATAACGGTGAAATGTTTTTGGACCAAGTTTCCAGAAATAATTCCATGTGACCACTGAGTGGAAAACCCGTAGACACTTCATGTTTGAAGAGCAACTAGAATAACCGTGTTATAATGTTATGTAATGAAGTGGCTGACCTCGAAGAGGAACACTTCCACGCTGTCCTGCAGAGAGAGCGATTGGAGTAGGATTCCATCCTCAGTGACATTTACTTTCAAATCAGTCTGCTCAGTGGAGTGTGCATGCACAGACAGGGCATAGAAGGCTGTCACGGTGTCCTACAACAACATACTACTTGCATCACCACACATTTGAACCTATCTTCAGGAAAAAAAAAATAAAGCAATCATTTGTATCTATCTGTAGTCTGGATATCTAAATGAGATTGTGTTCTGACCTGCGTGGACGAGTATCCACCGTTTGGACTCTGTTCACACCCCAGCCACTTGACAGCCCCATCCCCCACAGTCACACTATTCGCCTCCTCCTCGGTGGAGATGGGGGTGAACTGAGTGAGGAATGTGAGTGCATAGGCAGTGGTCTCCACCTGCATGCTGCTACTCGTTGAGTCCTGGTCGGAGTACCACCTGTGCGAACTGTCCTTCTGTTGTGGCTTGCACTCACCACACACTTCATCTTCACCAACTTCCACCGCCCTCTCTTCACAACCTCCAGTCCGCTGCCAGTGGTAGCGCCCACACATCTCTGTCAAACATCATAATCAACAATGCACGCCACAAACAACCGATCAACATTTATGAACAGAAAAACTAATCAAGTTTGGTCATTTGAAAAAAAAACACGAGAGTTAAGGCATTCCAATTTGCTCACTTTCTGATTGGTCCACGCAACTCAGGAGACTGTCTTGCACTCTGGCCAGCAAAGATCCAGCAGTGTCTGAGCACTCAGTTCCCTCTCCTGTTCCCTGGAATTTGTCCTTGTAACAACATAGGGCCGAACCCCCCAGACCCAGCAGATAGTTGTCCCGGTTGCTCTTTCCCAGCTCAGTCTCCAGCTGCGACTCCAGTTGTTCGGCTACTTTTTGCAGTCTTGCCAGCTGGTCAGTGGTGATGTTGTCGTCATCCACCAAAGATCTGGGCACCTGGCAGACACTGAGCAACACGTACGCAGCCAGAGTTGCTTCTCCGCTGGAACCACCCTACACAATAATATGCAAAAGTCAGCACACAAAAATAATCAGAAAATCATCTTACCATTATTAGTGTTCAAACTCATTAACATCGCCAACAGGAATTTGGAAAAATGTCAATGGAGTAAAAGAAAACAAAAAACGGAATTATTGTCGAGCATTTTAACTTTCGAACTTCAGCGATAATTATATCACGTTAAAGCTGTTAGAGTTGCAAGAGCCTTTTATGATATGATTTGGCATTTATTTCATAGAACACACTAAAAAAATGAAAAATATTCATTATAAACTTGGAAAAGTGCCAATGAGCGCAAGGAAAAAAAAACAGATCATGATTGACATTTTTGAGAAAGTGGGATCAATACATAAAATTTCTATTTCCCTGAAAAATTTGAAACAGACGCAAAGCTGAAACACTAGCGAGAAAACGATGAAAAAGCAGCCCGATCAAGTAAAATAAATGTTTTATAGCAAAAGAGCCATCCAATGAGCACTTTAAATAAAGCAGAGAACAGAGAATGAGCACTTTTATTTGCAAGTTAGGTTGGAAAAAAAAGGTTCGTACTAATATACGGCTCTTTTCCAGTTCCCCTCTTTTGATTTGCTGATTTTTTGTCATCATATACAGAAATCAACATCATAAACCAAACTTTAAATTGATAGAACTCCAATATCAGGAAGTTGAAAAACTGACAACAAAATTCATTCAAACCTTACACCAGAAACGCGTGAAATTATATTGAAATTATCGGAAATGCATGAAAAAAACTTGAAATTATTCGAGCTGCACAAATTGTGTTCTTCCAAAAAACTTTCGATTGAACTTATACAAAACAGAAAAATTAAACACAAAGCAAGATACTGTGACTGTGGGCATGGAATGAAATTAATTATTTCGGATCGCGAAGATCGATGACGATATTGTAAGAAAAAATGCAAAAACAATTAAAAGCAGGAACTTGGCTAGAAGGCAATCATTTCAGCTATCAACAGTTTATACTTTTCTTGTACTGCTGGTCGGAAAAAAATATTTCGATCAAACTCAGTTTCCTCTTGAGACTCCAAAAAATGTAGAAAAAGCAAAACCGTCGAGACTGATGAGAGTTATTTCGTAGAAAGAAAGTATAAAAGAGGCAGAGCAGTCAGAGAACAATGTCGGTTTGAAGGTATTTTCAGAGAAACTGGAGGTTGTTTCTTTTTGCAAGCGGTGGAAAATCGGACAAAAGATTTACTCATGCCCATCATAAAAAGTAGCATTGTAGCAGGCAGTAAAATTATTTCGGACAATGGAAATCTTATAATGACAAAAACAAATTTGATTATCAGCATCAAACTGTTAAGCACTGTGAAAATTTTGTGGCACCAACAACAGGTGCTTGTACCAACCGAGCTGAAGGAATGTGGAACAAAACAAAATTTGAAAACAAAAAGCCTTGAGGAACTCATTGAACTTGGTTGGATTCATATCTCTGTTAATTTATGCGGCAAAAATTAAAAAAGCAGATCATAAAGATTTGTTTGATGAAATATTAGATGACATCAGTACTCTTAATTCACCAATTTAAATTCAGTTTTTCGTGTTTTGAAAGGGGGACTGGAAAAGAGCCTAATCTACTATGCTCGTAAGCGTAATAATGATAGATAGGCGAAACACATCACTGTCCAGCTATAGATAAGTGGTTGAGGGATGCCGCAAAGAATGGCAAACAACTCGTATACTGCCACAATTACACAGAGGCGAAGCTGCACTTCGCAAATACTTGCTAGAACACAGCCAGAAAGCAACTCTATCAAGTGACATAAAAAAAGTAGAAATAAGCCTGGAATTTGCACAAACTCGAGGCTTAGCAAAACTCCAATTAGCAAAAATCTGCGATCTAGCAAATTTGACTCTCAGGCACTAACCATTCAGCCACGGATGCTTAAAATCCCCAAAAACTAGCCATCAATAATGCAGCTACATATACTAATTAATTACCAATTCGATGCAGCCAAAGTAGCACATGTAATAAATCGCAAATCATAAAGCATATGTATAAATTATACATTTCAAAAAACAGCAAGATATATCGAGTTCAAAAATGTCTGAAATCGAGATTTTTTATTTTTATGTTGTTTGAAAACACATTGCTTCCTTCGGTTCACTTGATGAATTAAAAATGCATCAGCTGTGTAAACTTATATCTATTCGAATATAAAAGCACATGTTGCCAATAAGCTGCAAAGGTGCAACAAATTGTCAATTCGATGCAGCAAATATTGTTCTTTCAAGTCCCAAAAAAAGACGCAACAATATTTGCGACTTAGTTTGGAAAAAAAAGAAAGTTCGTACTATAACACTTTGCTTCGCAAGTGTAATTACGCAAAATAATTAAACGTTTAATTTTCCATCTATGAAATGGACTAATATGGTAACTTGACGTGAAAGAAAAAGCATGGCCTCGATTCATTTCGCCTTATACGGAAATGACTTATGATCTATCTCTCTCTCTCTCTCTCTCTCTCTCTCTATTTTCAAATTTCAGTACTTCAGATGTTCAATCTCACCTGCATTTCCTTGTGCAGCACCTCTCCTGTCTCCACAACTCTCGTTGTGCTCCCCTCGCCCTCTTTAGAATCAGAGGTGACGATGACTTCTGGACTGAGTATGTAGGACAAAGAGTCCAGTAGTGTCTCCATACTCACCTGCACATCGCCACTCCGCGCCGCCTCTGAGAACGTTTTCACCACAAACGCTGTCAGCCTACACACACACATAGATACTTACACACAAAACAATCAAAATTCAATATCACACAGACCAAAACAACAGATTTAAGTACACTTAACGAGCATAAACATAACACTAAGCTCCTTGGAAAAACAGGCTAGACAGATTGGCCACGACTTTTTTGTGATAACTGAGAAAACAATTATAAGCAGAAACGCCGTTTCTAAGAATACATTCCATTTTCTTAAGGGACCTATCAAAGTTTTAGGGTTCTAACTATCTTGCTTGCACCCTCGATTATATATGCTTCTTCTGCAGCCAAGCCTACGTGGGATCGTTTACGAAGCCCATAGACCAGTTTGCGGACAGCAACTATGTTTATGGCTTGGTAAAAAACAACAGCTGACTTTGAGTGATGAATACGAACCATGTGGAGCTGGGGTTGCCCGACTGCTGCCCGAATGCACTGTAGCCTCCATTATCGTGCTTATAGGTCAACTCTCTCTGATATCCTGCAACATATAAACACACTAAGTTGCCGTAAATTTCAACTTTTGTCAGTTCTTAAGCATAAGGATGAACACAAAAAAATTTCAGATTAGACTTTTCCATAAAAAACATAGCCAACATACAGTTAGAAAAGAGTCAATGAACGCAAGGAAGCAGAAAATACTGACTTGTTTTTAAAAAAAATTAGTTTCACAGAAAAAATTAGATGAACTTAAAGCCCGTTGAGTTTCAAGAACAATTTATGATTGACACTTTTTTTGCTAAAAATTAACGGAAATTGAAAAAACTGGATTGATAGGTCTGAAGGTTCGCTGGGAAATCTGAAAATTAAATTCCACTTTCGAAAACCGAATTCGATCCCATTTTTTGTGACAACACTTTCGCTGTTCAATAGTGGAGTTTACCTTCCGTTTGACAAAACAATGAACTCAACCTCAAACTAAATGTTAAATCAAACCGCTAAAAAGTAAATTTGAGACCAAAAACAAATTTTAAGACTTTTCCTGAAAAAGAAAACGGATAAAAAAACATCGCGACCTATATAAGAGTCTGAACTACATTCATCGTCTCTTAAACAGTAGATGTACTTACACGCACATGGATGATACTTAAAATTACATAAAAACATCAACCAGTACTACAGGAGTTCAGGATATTTTAAAATATAGTTATAATAATTGTCTAGCTATAATAATTGTCTAATTATTTACCCATGGACATGAAGCGTGTGAGCTGGTCTTCCTTCTCCCTGTCCAAAGACACTCCGATGGCCTGCAAGATCTGGCGCAGGTAGACCAGAGGTGCCATGTAGATCATGTTCTGCTCCCCACATCCAGTGGGCTGTCGCACCAGTTTGTCTGGGTTGGAAAGTGCCGGACCCACCATCTGGGAGTAGAGGCGCACATGTGCCAGACCACTGTTAGTGATTGCATCTCTAGGAATGGTCAAATTGTAGCACTGTTCCGAATCTTCAGAGACGAGTTCCTTCTTGCCCAAATCCACCCTCTGCTCACAACCCTCCGCCTACAAACCAACAGTACTTTTTTCCCTTTCTTACTTTCAATTTTCGTTCGCCTGATTCGAAAAGCAGACTCATTGTCAAATGTAAGCGACAATGGAGTGTATACGTGTCCGCACTAGCCTTGACTTTGACTTGTTTCACGAATATGTCGTAAGGGATTGAGTCTGGCTGGTCGTCCGGACTGATTGTGACTGTTAGCGCCGGATTGCCGACCTTTTTGGCCACCAGGGAGCACACGAACAGTCTGCACTGCTGGTACTCCACCGCCTCAAGAGCGCCGCTGCTACTCATCACACTGCAGCTGTCGTCTGTCTTCGGCTCAGAGAAGGCATCCTTCGAGTATGACACTTCTATGTGGGGGGAGAGGGGGAGCTGTTGGGGGTTGTAGTTGCAGACTGAGATAGACACACTAAACGACTCCTTTCTCTTCACACTGTAGGCCACATTCACTCGACAGAACACCTCTTTGAACACTCGCAACTAAACAAAACACACAGACACATACTCAAATATATCGTGATTAAGGTTTCAATTCTACGAACATGATACAGTACTTGTCATTTTATTTGGCAATTCTGTAGCCCAAGTAGTGAACAGACATTTTCATCATGTTTTCCAGTTTTTAAATCAACTAAAAATTTATAGTTATCCATACTCGTCACCGTCATCAACCAAATTGATACGTGCAGATACCCTTTACAAGCGTGTCTGTACAAAACAGTCCGATAAAAATCAGCTCTGTACATAATAGTCCGAACAATCATAGCAAAGCAAAAAAAAAACAGTCCCATACAAAACAGTCCAAAAAAGAGTCCGAAAAATAGTCCCATTAATCGAAGTGATAATTGTTCCAGAAAATGATGAGAAAAATTCTCTTAGATTAAAAACAGTTTGGTTCCAACTAATCCGGATGGCAATATAAAATATAGAGGAGAAACTAGAAATTAGGACTCTTTATTTAATCCATGCAAAATGAGACATGTTGTTCAGATTGCTTCAATTGCGAACACTCAGCAAATTTCAATAAAAACGAAATTCACTAACTATATATGGAAACTATGCTTACTAACAAAAATTCTGAGTAAGTGAATTTTGAAGGTTATGTCAGGCAACTTCTTTTCCTGGCGCTGCGCACAAATTAGTTGCAATGGAGTGAGTGCGTACAACAGAGGACTCCGTTAAGATCGTTAAAGATCACTGCCACTTCCCAATCCGGCTGACATCGAAAAACGTAAGTTAAGAAAATATTTGAAGATCGAGCAGCAGTTTCTGATGTAAAACGCAGCCCAGCGTGATGGCAACCGAGAAACAGCTGTTCATTACAAAGTTATTCTGCTAATCAGCCAGCTGTAAATGGAGTTCGACGCAAAAATAGACCAAAGATGGCAGAGCCAACTTAGCTGACTGGATCTGAATTAACACTGGCCCTACAGAAAACTCACGATGGAGACCAGTTCCTTTTGCACGATTCTGGTTCCAAAGATGAAAATCGGGTTATTGTGTTCGACATGTTACCAGGACTGATCTACTATCTTTATCAGATGATTGGTTCTGCGATGGAACGTTTTCGACAGCTCCCACTGTATTCTATCAAATTTTAACAATACACGCTTCCGTAGAAGGATGCCTTTTGCTCTTGTTTACGCTCTGCTACCCGACAAAAAGGAATCAACTTATTCTCGCCTCCTCAGTGTTCTAGAACTTGAGTCCCCAAAAAGCGTTATAATTGATTTTGAAGTAGCTGTACTAAACTCAAAAATAGCTACCCATCAGAGCGCTCAAATTCAGTTTTTTCCATATGAGTCAAAGAGTCTGGCGACAGTACTCACAATTACAACAATACCTTAATTTTCGCGAGCTTATTCGAATGCTTCTCGCAAAAGCAATTCTGCCCCAAGAGGACGTCACCGCTGCGTTCGAGTTTCTTCAAGGTATGGCATCTCATGACAGTCAACCAATATTCAACTATTTCGAGGACAAATATTGGTAGGCTGACTTCTCAATGACGACCGAAATCCAGATTTGACATGAAGCAAAGGAGTTGCAATCAAAGAGTAAAAAAGGACCTTCCCCGCACCAACAACGCTGTAGAAGGTTGGAACAGTAATTTCGTGAAACTATTCAATAGTAAGCACCCTTCATTTCCAAAACTCATCGAGAAATTCAATGACGAACAAAAGAATGCGGAAATTCTGTTAGAAAAAAAGTGAGCAGGACACAAAGAAACAAAAACTCGACAAAATCACTATGACAAAAACTCGTCAATCACTATGATTAGGTCATATTAACCCAACGATAACATTGGTTTTTAAAAGGATGTAGTTATAATATTAAACTATAATCAGAAGATTCTTTTGTTTTCAATTTTTTTTTCATTGCCAAGCAATAAAAATTTTTCCAAGTTCATCTATTTTCCTTGATTTTTCAAAATTCAGCTAGAGTCGATTTGAAACCGGCAAAATAATGGATACACACGAGGCGTTGATTTTCTTTTGCCCCTCGCCCAACTATATAAGGTTGAATCTTTTGTTGTACCCTAGATATACCCGTTATCACATATACCCAAATTTCAACTTTTTTCGGAAAATTGGAAAATTTCTTTGTGTCGCCGTGGATTCGATCCTTTGATTTCAAGAGTTTTTTTTACGCTCAATTTTTTTTATGTTTCGGACCATTTTGTATGTGACTGTTTTGAATATGCATGTTTACAAGCATTGTACTAAATGGCAATCAGAAAACACATTGATCGAAAATTGTTTGCAGCATGTATACCAACAGATTTTTGAAAAGCAGTGACTTTCGAGATTTTACATGGACCAGGAAAACAGTGTTGCTAAATACTGAAGAAGAGTTTCGAAAAATCCTGACGATACAAGCGAGTTTACTCTATAAAGCGTACCATCGATACTTTCAGAGCGTTCACAGCAGACGAGAGTGAACTCAAGCTCAAGATAATTTAAAACGTCCCAAAGAAAGTAAAATGCGCACAGAAACTTAAGACATAATTATTGAAACAGTTGCTTCGCAGTTTATAACACCAGATGCGCTTGTGTTAACTGATAAAACTTTTAATTGTTGTTGTGATGTTGATATTTAAATAATTGTCAAATGAAATTTATAGACAGAGGCTAAGTGGAGTTGTGGGTGGGTGTTACCTCGAGTGGGTTAAGGAGGGTGGCAAATCCGGCGGTGGGGGAGAGGACACTGGCGTACAACTCGTGGGTTGTGATGGTATCACCAACAGCCACATCCACAGAGAACTCACTCGATCCACTAAGCACACACACATTAACTCATACACACTGCTGCTAAAAACACAGGATCTCTTTAACTTTTCCCTCCCTTTGGTACCAGGTACTGAATTGTCACCCTTATAATGACCTAATTCAATAGTCAAGCCTGCGTTAATTTTGTACCTAGTAAAGAATCTCCCCCCTTTAGCAAGGAGGGATAGTTCAAGAGATCCAAAAAGCACTTACAAACAGTAGACAGAATGCCACACACGAATGATACAGGAAAAATAAATATCAGTTGAAGAAGACCGCACGTAATCATGCACAAATCACAACACATTTCAAATGAATTAAAAAACTAAATACACGGGGTTAAGAAAAGAACATTCATTTCAGTTTCGTGCAATTATAATAACAAGTCGCATCAGTAGGCAGCATTGCTGCAAAAAATATATTCAAAAAGTTGACTTCATTAAATCGAAAAAACAGAGGCGAAAATGAGCTTTGCACCAATTGCGATAAAAACAAGTATATGATTCAAACATCAAGATGCTCAAGAACTAGCAAAGAGGACTTCGAACATCGTTACCGCTGAAAAAGAACTAGAAAAACAAAAACTAAATAAGTTTGTGTTTAAGTTATTTTTTTGGAGACATCCTAGTGGGGTTGATTTTGAGCATTCAAAAATTCGAGGCCAGAGTCTTATCTCAAGCGTTATTAAAGCCGAAAATACCTAAGTAGAAATCCTTCAAGACAAAATAGTTTCATTAGTTTTGAAAATAATACAAAATAAGCCGAAACCTATCTCAACAAATAAAAACTAATTTAAGAAAAATGAAATTTTAACAAATCGAGTGATAAAACCACAATCAATATTAAAACCCCAAGAAAGAGCTTTAAAAGGGTTTTAAAAGACAAGAAAAACAACTATGAAACTTGAACAAATAAATTCCGTCTACGAGAACTGAACCGCAAGCCTTGGACATTCAGTTTTTCCAGTTGACTGTCCTACAAAATTGTGCCACTGACTCGAATACAAACCAAAAAAAGCGAGAAAATGGCAAAAAGGATCTTTAAAATGAACAAATATGCATCACTTCCATGTCAAAAATTTATAAGTGAGAAAATAGTATAAGAACGAAACAAAAGATAAAATCTTCAAACTAAAGTCGAAAACTAGTTTTGATAGCTTAGTACATTGCTTTTTGCTTTCCTCGCTAGCCTTACGCGTGGTAAATTTAGACTAAAATTCAAAATTTTCAACGAGTTTTATCGACATTCATTGAATGATTCGAAATTTTTTAAAGTCGATCGAAACACGCTTGAAACACCTTTCTAACGTTTTTTTTATCCAATTCTTTTGAGCTTTTGCAACTCTTACTGCTGGGTAAACGCTCAACTACGCTTAAAAAACATAGCCTAAAATAAGTTGAAAAGTTTCAATGAACTGAAACCAGAACAAAATTTTATCAACCTTCAAATTTTGAAGAAAAAAAAACATAACATTACAGCTCTTCGACTTTCAAGAATAGTTGATGATTGACACATTTTTGATGATACTAAACCCACTAAAGAGAACTGGGTCAAAATGTAACTTTTTTTATTCCGCTTCGAATTCTAAAAAACACCTCTTTTCCAAACTAAGCATCACTATTTCCTTTTTCGCAGAGAGCGTGTTTTGACTTCTTATAAGCAAATGAATTTGAATTGAACTTAGAAAATCCTTAATGAAAACATAAAATTTTCCTTAAAAATTTAAAAAAAAAACAGCCAATAGAAGGTTGGAACAGTTTGCAAGAACAAAGAAACCAAAAAAAAAGTGATCAAAAATTTTTGAACGTTTTTAACTTTCGAACAAAAAAGATATGAGGTTTTAAATTACGTTCGTTCTTTTACAATTAAACAGGACCTAAATTAGTGATAAATCGTTTACACTCCACCATTTTTTTGCACATTAGAAACTAAGAATTTTAGAGCTTAATTAAAAGCTTTTCGCATAACGCGCTCGCTTACTCGACTGTTCAATTTGGACTTAAAACAAAAAATCTTCTTGACACTGAGAACATAATTGCATAGAAGAGCAAAGTAAACCTCGCTCCATTATTGCTCAAGCTCAAAACTAAAACATTTTAGCATCGCAAGTTACATATCGCGAGGACTTTATTTCACCGAAAAATTGAAAATAATGAAAACGAGCTCAAAGAAGCACGAATTATAACAAGACAAGCAGTCAAAAATGGCAACTTTAGAATGGCAAATTTAAAATTGGTTTCAACTGTGAGCAGATAAATATCTGTTCGTGTTCAGGAAGCACGAGGGAGCCCATGAGTACCTCACGGCTACTCGGAACAGCACCCCCTCTCGGAAGTCACTTCTCTCTTTGGGAGTCGACTTCTGCTTCTGCGGGGGTGGCACCAGATTATGCATTAGTGCGGGCATAGAATCTTTATGCAGTACAATCAGTGATGTCAATTTAAACAAATATATAAATTTAATTTGACTTTTCATTTGAAATTCAACTTAAACAAGGATAGTCAGTTACTGTGCAAGTAGCACAGAATGTTCCGACCACACAAGTTGCAAGTAGCACAGAGAACTACGGTTGAGAAGGTTTTTTTCCAAATTACTGTAGTCTTTTCTGCTTGGTGTGATAAAAGGATCTGACGTAAAAATAAAATTAAGGCATATTAGACAGTAAAAGTATTATAAGCAAATTTGACAAAATGTTTGTAGAAAAATGACGTGAAAAACAAAAAAAAATCAAAATTAAAAAAAAAAGGTAACATTTTCAAAGTTTTTGGTTCCCAAAATGAAGCTAAAAAACTAATTTTACTTGTTTAAAATTAAGTTTTAAGGTCGTAAATTAGGCTAACTCAGCTCTTGTAAGCCTGCTCGCTTGCTCCATTTGCTCGAATTAAGACGAAAAATCAAAAATTCCAAACCGGTTTTTCTGGAAACTTTTTGGAAATTTTTTAATGTGGTTTGATTCACGACTGAAAGGGCTTTAATATGATATATCACTCAAGCCAGTCCGATCATTATTTGTGGCATCTGATTTTGCGTGTAAAACAAAAAGCGAAAAAAAACTAAAACACCCGAATACAAAGTTCCTCCCCATTTTCAATGGTCGGAACAATAATTACTAAATTATGATTCGACGCAATGAAAAATTTCTACTTTCATGAAAAATCAAACTTCGTGAGCGAGATTCGATCCGACGCTAACGTATTGATTTCACAAATGTGATTCTGATAAAAATCTCTAATCAACAATAGCCTCATTTTTCAACGAAAGTAGGAATAATCAGGTCGAAATACAGAAAACCAGGGAAAAATATTTTGAAATAATTCAGCGAATTCTGTTAAAACAGACTTTGGTTAAAAAAATTGAATTATTATAGAAAAAGCCACGAATTATTTTTTTTGGAAAACTTAAAATTAAATTAATATGTTTTTAAATGGACATCACTATCGCTGAGAACTGTCATCGACCAACCACCTAGAACGCGTCCATACTTCGAAACTATAAGGAAAACGAAACCCCTTTTGATAAGGAATATGAAAAAAATTATCGACTAATCTTTGAATACTTTAGATTCTATCAATTCCAGGTATTTTTGTAATTGACACTTTTCATAAAACGAACTCAGTTTTAAACAAGGATGAAAGGTTGCTGTGCAAGTAGCACAGAATGTTCTCACTACATTCTCAGAAATTTTTTTTTTTCAAATAAGTGTATTTTTTGTACTTCGTGTGATGGTAAAAATATACGACCGCGTAGAAATTAGGTGAATCAGGCATAAATGACTCCATTTGTCTTCAAAAAAATATAAAAAAATTAGAAAAGTTTTTTTTTCAATTTTTTGCATTTAACAATTTCAATATTTTTGAATGTTTTTTTTTTTGCTAGAGAAGAGCTATTTGAAGCATCCAAATTTAGAACTCCTTTTAGTAAAATCAACTTTTTTAGCATAAATTGCTAGTTTTCATGTATAACATATTTTACTCGGCCGCTTTACTCACTCGAAAATCAATAATTTGAAACCGGTTTTTCTCAACAGTGAGATTTTTTTTGATGTTGTTCGAATCACACCTAAAAGGGCTTTGATATATGTCACTCAACCTTGTCCTGTCCGATGATTATTTGGTACCTGATTTTGCTTTCAATAGTCGGAGAAAAACTCACAATTGGTTATTTCTTTATTCCGCTGGCAAATCTTTTATTGTTTTTGACTTTTTGCAAAATCTATTTCGACGGCCATAAATTTGTATAAAAAAGGTAGCGCGTAGCCACGCAAGGTCGGGAGCTTTAAAAATCCGGTCTATTCCACTGAAACAAAAATCTCAAACTTGGTATGTTAGTTTTCGAGAAAATGGAAAAAAAAATCAAAAATATTGGTCAAATATTCTCCCCACAGACTGTTTCGAAGGCTGTAGACAAATTGAAAAAGCTATAAGAGACCAAATTAGTAATTAGTAAGCACACAGTCCAAGGCAGAGGCTGTCTTTCTATGCAGACTTCTTTTTTGAAAATCGGTAAGAGGTTTTTTGAGAAAACAAAAATTTTGTGCGAAAAGTGATTTTTCTGCGAAAACAAACTTTTAGCGAAAAAATAAAAAACACAATCCCAAACATTTTTATATTACCTATTTTTACCGAACAGGAACTCTAGGCAAACGTGCCAAGCAAAATATTGGATATTCAAATTGGAAACTGAACAATTATACGAAGCGGAAACAAGGCCGACCATGTTTGAGCTACCGAAAAAAAAACTGATTTTGTGATTTTTTTTAGAAGTTTCAAGTCCTTCTGATATTAACCAGTAGCAACTAGTACCCACCCAGAAGTTAATAGTAACATAGTACCCACCCTTAAGTGATTCAACTGATTTTGATAAACTAGTTGTTAACCAGAAAAAAGTCTAGATTTGAGAATGCTTGCTAATCGCAAGAGTAATCATTGTACTGCTGTTTGAAACAAATAACATTTTTCGCTTCATTTCATGAATTAAAAACGCATCATCTGTGTTAAATTTTAACTA